AAGGCTGCCGTCTACTATCACCGATCATGTTCCTGATTGTGGTCAACTGGATCATGGAGCCAACCGTGAGGAACGCTGGCTGGACCGATGACAAGACACTAGAACATTTGGATTTCGCCAGTGATGACTTATGTCTAGTGTCGTACAACCTTCAAGATCTACAAGCGAAAACCAACAAGTTGATAGAGGAAGCGAAGCAGCCAAGACCAGACTTCAAGTGAACGTAGAGAAGATGGAGGTGGTGAAGATACCTGACCACCACCAACAACAACAACAAACACCAATTACCATGAATAGGAGAAACCTAAAGGAAGTGGTCTCTTTCACCTACACAGACAGGGCTGCATCGATACAACTAAAGACGGTGACATAGACGAAGATGTGAAAACTACGATCGGAAAAACAAGACACGCTTTCACTAATCTGGATCAGTGTGGAGATCTACTGCACTCACCATAAAGCGTGAACAACATACGGATTTTCAACACCAATTCAGTCAAGTTAGTCAGTGCTTCTGTATGGTTCAGAGACTTGGCGCGTCACGAGAGGGATTTCCAATAAACTACAGACATTCATCAACAACTGCTTACGCTGGCTCGCTACTGAATCTCAGATGGCCAGAATAATAAGAATAAGCAACCAGGAACCCTGGTTGGCTGTCAACGAACCAACCAAGAACTTATCGCTGAACAAATATGCAGAAGAAAATGGAGATGGATTGGGCATACACTGAGAAGGTCGATTGGGAACATCACACGCCAAACCGTAGAGTAGAATCGAAAGGAGGAATCGATGAGCTGAGCATCCTAGGTGAGGGTGACATGGAGTTGTGGACAGACATGGAGCGAGGTTGAAAAGACTGAAGAGAAGAGAGTGGAATGGAAGCGTGCTACTCTGAAGCCCTATGTTCCACTAGGAACCCAAAGGAAAAATAAATAATATCATAATTTAAGCCATCCTCTTCACAGAACATAATATCACTAAGATGATCCACTCACGCTACAAATATTCTTCTTTATTAGGATACTCAAATCGTCTAAGAAACATAAGTTCTATACTGAAGAGTGTTAATAAGTACAAAATCTGATTCAGACTAGGTTTTCCTGTCGAAATATTGCACAAGATTTTTCATACTCATTGTCTAAGCATAACCATTTACATAGATTGACTGAAAGTGATTTAAGTTAACTATAAGATATATAAAAAAACACTTTTCATGTTAAATTTCCCAACTATGCTGCCTTAAAAAGTAGTAACAGTTTCTCATCGTTTTCTGTCCTGGGAACAACACAAACAACAATATAAGCGCACATATAAAAATGATTACCAAATCTAATGTAAGACAGTGTTGAACAAAAAAACAGACTAATTACTTTTTACAAAAGTTTACTAATAGTAAACAGATGACCATTAGATAATATACCCGGGGGAAAAACATAAGACTATGTAACGAGAAAATAGGATGTAAAGTTGTGCATTTTGTGTGAATTTTTATAAAATCCAAGATGGTAGTCAATTTACTGGTTGTTCAGTTCACAAAAGTGTGACCAAACACTGAATTTATAGGTATATCCAGATTATCTATTTTCTGTTTTCTTGTTACTTAAGAGCAGAATGCTAATTTCATTCTTGGTACTAACCATGTGCTTAACAGAAGCACTGAGAACAGACGCAGAGACAACAGCGGACATGCTCACACCATTATTGCAGAAGGTGTGGAAGGAAGAGAAGGTGCCTGACGATTGGAAGAAGGGTTACGTTGTCAAACTCCCGAAGAAAGTAGAACCTCAGTGTTTGCAAGAACTGGCACGGAATCACTCTCCTGTCCACCCAGAGCAAGCAAAATATTAAGCTGCATCATCCTAGAGCAGAATGGCATAGAATGGCAATCAGCTCTCTAACTCAACTTCATCGACTTTGAGAAGGCCTTTGACAGCGTCGACCGAGAAGTAATTTGGAAACTGCTTCAATACTACGGAGTACCGCAAACCTTTATCCGCCTCATTCAACAACTATATGAAGATGCCACATGCCGGCCAAGTAATTCACAATGGGAAGCTCAGTGATGTCACTGAAGTGAAGTGAAGACAGGAGTGAAACAAGGTTGCCGTTTACTATCACCCATGATATTCCTGATTGTGGTCAACTTCACTGGATCATGCAGCAAACAGTGGGGAGCAGCGAGAAGTGGGGGATACGCTGGCTGGACTGCGGAAAAGAACCTAGAAGACTTGGATTTCGCCAGTGATGACTTGTGTCTGATGTCACGAAAACTTGATGATCTACAAGCGAAAACTAACAAGTTGATAGAAGAGGCAGGACAACGAAGACGGGACTTCAGGTGAATATAGAGAAGACAGAGGTGATGAAGATACCGCACCAACAACTCCAACAACAACAACAAACTCCAATCACCATCAACGGGAGAAACTTGAAGGAAGTAACCTCCTTCACTTATCTAGGAAGCACTGTTTCAACTACAGGCGACACAGGCACAGACGAGGATGTCAAAGTCAGAATTGGAAAAGCAAGACAGGTATTCATTAGCCTGAAACCAATGTGGAGACGTTCCACACTCAGCATAAAGTGTGAACAAGATGCGGATTTTCAACACCAAACTCAGTCAAGTCAGTGCTTCTGTATGGTTGAGAGACTTAGCGCGTCACGAGAGGGATTTCCAATAAACTACAGACATTCATCAACAACTGCTTACGCCGGCTCGCTACTGAAGATCAGATGGCCAGAATAATAAGAATAAGCAACAAGGAGCTCTGGGAACGAACCAACGAAGCAAGAACCTATCACCCAACAAATATGCAGGAGGGAGTGGAGATGGATTGGACATGCACTGAGGAGGCCGACTGGGGACATCACGCATCAGACCAGTGCCTCTGGTGGAATCCCCATGGGAAGTGACGAGTTGGGTGTCAGTGCCGAGGGTGACATGGAGGAGGTCGTGCGAGGAGGAAATGAGAGGTTGTGGGCTGTCGTGGAACCAGGTCCAAAAGATCTCAGAGAACAGAGTGGAATGGAGATGTGCTAGTGAAGCCCTATGTTCCACTAGGAACCCAAGGGACTAATAATAATAATAATAATAATAATAATAATAATGTGCTTAACTAATTTTTCAATTAGTCTCACTCCCATGCCACACTTTCCACCTACTGACATCTGCACATTTACGTAACGTAAGTGAACACGGAATAAATACTTAATATTACTGAAAAGCTATGGGGTGCTCGTTGGGATCCTGCTGAGATTCAGATTTTTATCACCGAGTAACACTAATACAAGTCTGACAAACCATGTCTATTTTAGATAGTCAAACTGATAACTAATGACATTCGTTTGTAAGTATTCAGTCATTCGGACTAAAATTTAGTAGGTATAAATTCAAACTTCAACAGTGTATCAGTTCAAGAAAGCAGGAGCGACTCTAGCCGGAGAAGTGACTAGACTGTTGGAAAAGGTATGGCTGGCTGAGAGTGTTCCATCACTCGGGAATTAAGTCGTTGTTGTGTCCTTCTTTAAAAACAATCTATGTGCTACATGTGACAGTCATCGAGGTATTAGTCCGTTACTAGTCGTGTTGAAAATATTGACTCCTATAACACTTCGTAGACTTTTCGTAACACTTGGGAAAATGATTCCTGAGGAATTGGTCAGGTTTCGTCCTGGTCGTGGATGCATTGTTCACGTGTTTACCCTCCACCAGATGCTTTAATATCGTCACACGCATTGCAGGCCAACAGACGTCGTGTTTTTTGATATTAGGGCTGTCTTTGATTGATTGTAAAGAGCTGTACTCCGGAACTGTTTTTTGGAGAGGTATATGCCTGAGAAATTTGTCAACATCTTGAAAGCCCTATGTAATAACACCTCAGGTAGAGTGAGGACATACAACCACTTACCTCCATTGTTCCAAACCAGCAGTAAAGTTAGGCAGTGTTGTTCGACTTCTCCATTCCTCTTTAGCTTGACCATAGATGACATTCCTAAGAGAACTCTGAAGGAGATGAGTGATTGCGGTGTAGATCTAATGCTCAGAGAACAGGCATGCGGATGGTTTCTTCTTACTATTCCCTAATGCACAGGCTATTCAAGTCGCACTCGATCAAATGGGGACTGGTGTCCATAAGTATGGTATATCCTTTCGACCACTGAAGTGAAAAGTACTTTTGCAAGATCGGCAGGAGCCTGTGTCTGCGCTCACCATCACTAGTGAGACATCGGAGGTAGTCAAAATGTTTGTGTATCTAGACAGATGTATGAGTGCTGGTGGAGGTGGGAATGATGAAATTTCCATCCGGTTATCGAAAACTAGGGTGGGATACATAAGTCTGGATGACAGTTCACGCCGTCATAACATTGACCGTGAGAGTTTGGATTTACTACGCTTCTGTGCCAGCAGTTTTGCTCGATGCATATGAAACCTGGTCTCTCCTAGCTGAGGATGTGCAACGACTCTGTGAGTTCAATCATCGTTATCTCTGTAGGCTTGTTTGTATCCATATAAGTAATTCTGAGATACAACAGAGCGTATTTTGTCATGATGGAGGTCCTCATTAAATGGGTGAAGTCATATGAAAACAGTGGCTTCGGTGGTTTGGATATGTGTTACTCATGTCATTCCAACGGCTTCCACACCATTCATTGTTTGCTAACCATTGGATTGGATAGAAGAAGTGGAGGGATGGTCAATGTATGACGTGTCAGCGTGGGATGTGGGAAGAATGCTTCAAGCTAGCACCTGTTAGTGCATCACAACTCCCTGGGTGGGACACGAGAGATCAGGCAACTCAGTAGCTCGAAACTTTATCAGATATAGTTTAAGCATTGCGCACATTCCTTTTCAGAAGTTGAGTATCATTAACAGCTGACTGCGGTGTTGACTAGCGAAACAACAAACCCTTACAGATTACATTCCAAAAGAACTGAAAATTAGACAGCTACCCAGTAACTCCCAATCAATTAGAACAAACGTTTAAAAAGAAACTTACTAGGGTAAATTATTTCCACACATTTCACACGGTTGACAGTCACTAGCTAATAAACTTTTATCCGGTCGATAAAAGCCATCTTTGCATTGTTGACATCTAGGACCAGCGCGATTGCCAGGACAACTGATACAATTCCCCTCGATATCACATTGATCACAAGCACAAAATGGTCGACATTTCAAAGGATCTTCAGGATCTTTTTGATATCCAGGTGCACATTTCTGTAAAGCATTAAGTAATGTTTAAAATAAGTCAGCATGAGCGGCTAAAAATTAGTGTCGCTGAAGGAAATTAATGAAAATACTTTCATTTAGGATGTAGTACTTTTAAAACCTCAGAATCAAATAAATTTACTGTCATTTCGGTTGTATCTAGAGGAATGTTGTTGTTAGTAAGCTGGATCTGTTCTGCTACCGAAATAAGCGTTAAAACTCAATGCATTATACTAAGCTATCTGGACAGACTCTTGATTCACTATGATTCAAATGAATGAGTTAAGCGCTCTTAAAGAACTTTCTTATCTTTGACATATCTGATTTTAGTAGCAGTCAGTATATATCTAGCCTCACAAGGCAATGTAATCGATCGACAGCTTCGGAAAATTATCATTATTATTTGTCGCTTTGGCTTAGGGCTACAATAGCACACCGCCATTTCACTCTCTTCTCTCCAGTCTTTTCAATCTAGCTCGACGACTGAGTATATCCTTTCATTTCTTCCTCATACGATCTCGTACATGTCACCCTAGGATGCCATATTCGTCGTTTCCCACTTGGGTTTCGCTCGACGTTCTGACCTGATCTGGCGCATGATGTCCACAAATGGTCATCTCAGACTACGCCCAATCCATCGCCACTTTCTTCCGCGCATTTGTTGGGCGAATGGTTCTTGGTTGATTCGTACTCAGAATTCCTTGTTGCTTATTCTTTCTGGCCACCTAATATTTAGTATTGAGCGTAGGCGGCAGCAGTTGATGATGCATGTCTGCAGTTCGTTAGGATTGCTTTTCGTAACTCGCCAAGCCTCTCAACCATACAGAAGCACTAACTTGACCATAGTGCTGAAAATTTGCATCTCGTTCATGCTTATTCTGAGTGCAATGCATTGCAGTGCAGTAAATCTCCACACTGATTATTTCAGATCAATGAAGGAAGGCCTGTTTTGTTGTCTTCTCGATCTTGGCTTAGACATCCATATCTGTGCCGCCGTCGCAGCCTTGTCTTACTTATGTCTTCACTTCATAGGTTAGGCATCACTGAAATCTCCATTGTTAATCACTTGGCATGTAGCATCATCATTATCATCATGTAACTGTTGAATGAGGTTGACAAAGGTTTATGGCACTCCGTAACGTTGAAGCAGTTGCCAAATTACTTCTTCGTCGACGTTGTCGAAGACCTTTCCAAAGTCGATGGTTTTAGAAAACATCGATTAATTTAGGCGTAAAACTTGAGTATTTTAGTAGATTTTAATTCCATCTGAGATGAGAGAAACAAAGATAAACTGCCTGCTTCTGCCATTTCCAAGTATATTTATCACTTTAGTTACTACTGTGGAGCTAGTTACACTACAAGGCAGGTTCATCGTCGAATTTCTGACCATCAAACCTCATAGCTAAATAAGGGACAGATGAGAACAATATACAGTTCCAAACTTTCACACTTACTTGACAGTTATCATCAAGTGGATACTAACAGACCAAAGCAAAATCGTATACAAATTGAATTTACTACACGAATTAGGCATTCACTTACTTCACGTAGCTGTGGTGATTGCAATCCACCTTCACAAACTTAACCTTGATTTTGAAAAGAAATTTATTTAACCACTTTCATTACCATGGCCACCAATATGATGTAACTTCTGTTATAACTTTTTACACCGCTTCCCCTTCTTGCTTCTATTATTACTCATTCTTTTTCTTATTATTACGTGACCATTCATTGTTTACTACTTACCACTCGAGAAAAATCACTTCAGTTACTTTAACAGGTATCGCACAGTTCATCTAAGAATAATCCAGCATTATAATTACTTTGTTGACTATTTGAATGTTGATTTCTCAAGTTAATTATCTTCATAACTTTGTCAAAACCCATTAGTACTGATAGTTAACCTTCACCACTTGGTTGGAATTTTGATATGAATTGCAAACCTATATATTAATGTAGACCTAGAGATGATGACCTAATTGAAAAGGAGGATATTATTTCGTTCAATCAGTTTTCTTTCTAAATGTCTAAATGGGAATTTTCAGTTCCACTTTTATCTATTTCTTAAATGTATCACACAGTGAAACAGTATTATTCACTGGCTGTCTATCACTGCCTTATCTCTTTTGTTTCTGAATTGATACATGTAGACGTAAGTATTTTCGGATTTAGTATAACTGTTTTTATATGATACCGTTTTTGAATGGACCGAATTAATGGTTCTCTATTAGCATATGGGCTCCTGAACGGATGCCTCGATATTGCTGACGAGTCCCAAACAGGACAAAATGCGCATTCTGGATTCCACTGCCAGCCACGATCCATCATTATTTTAGGACTGATTTGACTTATGAGACACAAAACAGTGAATATGCAATCACTGTACAGTAATAAACATTATTCTTTCCCTGTATCAGACATTTAAGAAACAAATGAAAATATGGTTTTCAAGCCTTAATAGAATTCATAATCATCTGTCTATATTAGTATTATTGCTTGTATTACACCGTAGTTGATTGGACCGAATTGATCAGTCTCTATTGGTATATGGGCCTGTGTGTGGATGCTCCAATATTGTTTGTGAGTTAATTATGTATAATAATGATGGGTAATGGCCAGAAGTGGAATCCAAGATGTGCATTTCCTCCTATTTAAGACTCGTCAGCTGGATATACCTGCCTCCCAGTGCGGAGTGATGTTGTTCCCACCGGGATGCGGAATCGGAAGTGATCACTTCAAACGCGAGAGTGTACATGCTTAACGATTGAAATGCTTGATTACATTTCTCATTCCATATTCGTGATAAAAAATTAGAATCAAAATTAGGGAACTGAAGTTTAGAGACAGTTACTTCCTAAATGCATTAGAATCCTGTGTAATAACAAACTGATAATACATAGCAACTGGGTATTTTTGAAAGTTTTTCACAACTCTAACTAATATCGATAAATTTTCAGTCAGTTGGATATAATAAGGCTTAAAAATGTTTTACAATGTACGGTATAAATCTATAAAGATTGTTAACCAGAAGAAAATGTGGTAAACTCCAGAGAATAACCTCACTCATTTACAATTCAACTGTTATTTTTCTTTGTATACACTGTGTAACACTAAGTTTTACATCCTTAGTGCTGATAACGATTTCAAATGTAACAAATTTTATGATCTGAATCATTCTGACGTTTTATAATCGACTTCTATTAAGCTTTATTATTCTCGTTTAGGAAGTGTGTTAAAATCATAGCTTCACCCCGAATATGCGTTTTAAATGTACTGTATGCCATCATTGCTTGTAATGGAGTCGAAGAAATGGATTTTATACCATTCGGTATTCGTCAAGTGGATGTACCATCTCCTACAAATATGGTAACTTAGCATCAATCTCTTCTAGTATCAAAGCGTAATTAACTAAGCTAGTGTATGATGAGAACCCCATTTTATTTGAGTAAAATCTATTGATCTCCATTAATTCTTCCAATGGATATCTCGTAGTCGACTTAAATACTAATATGTTTTTTTTGCTTGTTAACATGCGCATTTTTTTTGGTTGTATTGTGTTCTCTGAGCTGGGTTGTTTAGTCGTGAAGCTATCACCGCCTTCCTAGACGACATCATCAGCCCTAACTTCAGTGTGAGGTGAGCTGTTAATATCTCTCCGTTAGTGAGTGATTAAGTAGCTTGCCTTGACGAAGCCATCTGTGATTGATCGTTTCCTTTGATTGCTGTGTCATTGACTGTATAGATTTTCCTACTGACCGTTCCTCTGCTTCATCTCTCACCTTCGTGTCATTGATCATCCTTCTCATTGGTTGGTAGATTGGGTCTATGTCTATACATCTGTTGATTGCTGACTGACTGATTGACCTGGATACCAAGTTTCTAGGAACTCTCTGATATTCTTTGTGTTTCCTATCTCCGTCCAAAATTTCTACATTGTCGAAATTGAACTCATGTCCATAGTTGTTATTGAAGTGCATTGAAATGAGTGATGAAATGTCGTGCCGCTTAATAGCCAATTGGTGTACATGTAGACGAAGGCGAAGAGGGCGACCACTTTGTCCAGTGTAGTGTTGACTACAGTTATCGTAGTTGGTTTTGTAAATGATATTCGGTTTGTCTTCTATGGTTGTCTCGTCCTTTGTTCTGCATAATAGTGTTTGAAGGGAATTTGTTGGTTTATGAGCCACACCAATCCCAAATGGTTTCAGTAATCTTGTGGTGATCTTTGACATATTCTTAATGTATAGTAGTATTATGCATTTATTGATTTCTGTAGATGACTTTGTAGTTGATGATGTACGGGATCTTTTATGTTATTACGGATTCATTGAGTACATGCTACTGGATCATCATAATGAAATTTGAAATAGCACTAAGGAATCTATTCAAGTAACTCATACATCGAAAGAGATCAATTAATTTGGTAAACGACAGTAATTATCAGAAAATAACAAGTACCAATAAATCGATTAGAAATGCTTGACATTTATAAGTCTAAAGTTAATCACAGTAAAGAATAGCCAACATGAAATTTGACAGAAAGCATCAATATATCAGTCGAAGTAGCTGATAGGGGATAGTATTTTATATATATGAATAGACAAATTTCTAGTAGATGTTAGTTGGTTAGAGGCAACCGGCAGGAATCCCTGCTTGATCTTGGTTTAATGCTTTTTGGCACTCGTCAGCAAGGTGTATCTGCAACCTAGACGGAACTGATGTCGCGCCTGAGATTCAACCCCGCGTCATCCAGTGTTGTAGTTAGCGACTTTACCACTGAGCTATTCAGGTCTCGACTGACCTCCTGTAGGACTGGCCTACATGTATTGATTGGTCATGGGAGTGCAACTAATTTCATGTTGTCTAGTCCTGAGTGCAAACCGAATTCTATCGATCATATTTGCAATGTGGCAACCAAGCAAGGAAGCTCAGCATCCCTGGAATTCGGTCTGCACTCAGGACTAGACAACATGAAATTGGTTGCACTCCCGTAACCAATCAACAGACAAATCTCTCAATGTACATATACAAGTAAGGTTTTACATCCGTTTGATGCATTTGTCTAATGCTCAGTAAATTATTCTCCTGACATTATTCTTTCTGATAAAGATAATGATTATGATTCATAATTCTGATTATAGTTACCTCACGAAACCAGAGCACATCCTTTTGTCTTATGATTATTACCTACATAAAAGTTGTGTTGTGCAATTCTAAGACAAATATATCTTAGCATCAACGAAATGAATTACATAAATGTAGACACTGGA